GCGACGCCGCCGGGTCCGCCGCGGTGCTGACGGCGGTGGCCCCCCTGTGAGCGGAGCCCGGACTGGGCAACGGCAGGGCCGTAAGACCTCGCGCTACGTCCGGGCTCCGGGGCGGGGGCTGCGGGGGCGAAGCCCCCTCCCCGGGGAGGCGGGGCCTGGGCAAGCTCCCCACTTGGGGAGCGGCGGTGGCCAGGAAGGATGCATCAGAAGCTGCTGAAGAGCGCACATTATATCGAGCTGGGCAGCTACCAGTACTGGCCCGTCCTGGTGCCCCGCGGCATCCGCCTCTACACCTACGAGCAGATCCCCGTGTCCCTCAAGGACAACCCGTACATCACCGACGGCTACCGGGCCTACCTGCCCTCCAGGCTGTGTATCAAAAGGTACAGTCTGGCCGCCTCCGCTGGGTGCGCCTGGGGGGCGCGCCGGCAGCCCCTCCTCCTCACCTACAGCCTTTTTGTCTGGTCCGCCTGCTGCTTTCCCCGCGTTTCTCCGTGCCCATCATTTCCTAGCTGTCCCAACCTTTTCATCCCTTTCTGCCACCTCTCCTTTCTCGTTGTCTTTCCTTCTTCCGCCACCGGGCTACTTGATCCATGGACTAATGATAGTAACAAAGATCATAATCACTAACTCCTGTGGGGCTTTGCTCTTTACAAAGGAATTTTGCATCCTTTATTCCATTTGGTGCTTATTGGGATACATGTTGGAATCGACCCCACTGACCATGACTGAGCCATACTTGCCCCTGGGTATACCTAAGCTTTGTTTATTTTTAAGGCAGCCCTCTGGAAATTCAGATGTTTGGGGCCAGATAAATGCCTGTATAATAGGAAACAAGTTCACAATGCCATACATTTAGAAATCCTGGTTTATTCATTCAGCAGGTAGTATGGAACCCCTGCTAGGTGCCAGGCACCCTACCAGGTCCTGCAAAGAACAGCAGGTATGGCCCTTGTTCTCATGAAAATACTGAGGTCTAGCCTGGGTGACACACATTAAAGAGCTAGTTATACTATTACATAATAACCATTGTGAAAAAACGCTGTGTGGGAAAAGCACTATAGCAAAGAAGAGCCTATAACAGGCACTGCCCTCCACTAGAGCACTATAGAAGTGTCTTTAAAAAAGGAATTCCGTCATCATTTAAACTCTTAAAATTGAGTCCCTTGAAAGCCTGGGTATAAAAAAACAAAACTGAAAAATTAGTGTTCTAGTTCTTAGACTAGCTTTCTGTTAAACTCCCTATATGTACTTAATTACAGGACCCCACTTTAAGAGAATTAAGATACCCATGTTGGTTAGCTCCAGGTCACTGTAGTGACAGACCCCACTGCTGGAATGTGAGCCATTGAATTGTTCAAGCAGCAGCCACATGTTTGATTCTTGATCTTGTTTTTGGCATGGTCTTACCCCAGTTCCTTTGCCTTGCCTGCCTTTAAATTGCTCCTCTGACTCAGGGTCACAAGGTGACATCACTGTCCATCCCTACTTGGCTTCGATGCGTGGCCCACAGGACTTCACAATTTGAATCCTGAGTGCCATTTTCCTCCCCATTGACTCCTTTGCATAAGTTATTACACAGGAAATCAGAGCTGGGCCCTGCTGTGGATGTAGAGTTCCACAAGGGTAGAGCAGGTAGTCAGTTGCCTTAAATAGTTTTATACCCACCTCTGCATTCTAATATTCGGGTCCAAATTTCATGGATTAAGGAGTGAAATATAGTGCTTTAGATCTTGGGCTGTTGAGTAAAAAAGACTTGGGTGTGCAGATCTGCCACTTAACAGCTGTGGGGCCTTGAACAAAAGTTAACCTCTCCCAGCCTTATTTTCCCCATTTGTAAAAATGAGGGTAATTACAGTATATGCCTCAGAAAGTAGTAAGGACGAAATGGGATTGTGTATGTAAAATGCTACACAGAGCCTGGTACATAATAAGCACTCAATAAATGGTGGCTTGTTATCACCATGGTCATTGAATTTGAAGCCAAATAGATGATGAAGTTGATTGTTGATTTTGAAGCAGAACAGAGTATAGGTCTAATTTCTCATAGAATAAGAGTAGATCCCCTACAGGTGATATTCTGCTAAGTGCTCTTCCCACCAGCTTGGTCTTCTCCAGGTTCAGCTTTTGCCCTTTGTCTAGAGGGACGAGGACGCATTTTGCATATAAGGAGAGGTTTTGTACGTCACAACTGTTCTGCCAATACTATGTTAGTTGGAAGGAACGTGCCAAGATTATGCCTCTCTGCTCAGTTAATCAGGTTATACTGGGTTTCACCAAAGGAAAAGTTCTGAGGCAACAGGCAGAATGTGGTATTGGCTGTCAAGCAGTCCTGGGGTTAGATGTGTCTCCTCACATCCCTGCATCTCTTCCCCCACTCCCCGGTATAAGTAGTTTTTATACTTGATGCTTGTACAGGATAAAGCCTGAAATCCATGATACAAGATCCACTTTATCCTTGGTGATCGTCTGATTTTGTGAGACCCTGCTATGTTTATGACATGGGAAAATGTGAACCATGGTGACTGCTGCAAATTCAGTATTAGAGTTATGCGTTAGTGCTTACCAATAAGGATTCTGAATCAGTGAAGGTCAAAGACTTTAGTTTAAACAAAAGATTAGATTTTGCAAGAGGATTTTAACCTTTAGTCATGACATCACCTTTCAATAATCTGATGAGTCTTATCCACAGCTGGAGAAACATTTCACAAAATTAAGGAAGGAGCTGGAAGGGACTTGCAGCAGCATCTAATCCAGCTCCCTTGTTTTAGAGATGGAGAAATTGAAGCCAGAGACGTTAAGTGACTTGCCATGATCCCAGAGCTAATTTGTTGCCCAGGGTGGGAGGGAAGGGACAGTGAGCCTCCTGACTGCTGGTCGGCGGGGAACACTCTGCACTGGCTTGCACTGCCAGGACTACTTAAACTCAAACCAGTTAGGGCATATTGAAAGAGGGCAATTAGTACTGATAGTAAAAGTAACCTCCTGTCGTTCCAAAAAAGGAATAAACTCATGCCACCTGGAAACTAGTTTGGTTTCAAAACAACCACAGCAAAGTTGTTGCAGCATGCCTGTCTTAAAGGACATTTCCAGTGGATCCATTTGCATTTATCCTGCTTCTCTCAAGTCCATGTAACTTTGCACTTGCATGTAATGAGTACTAAAAAGGTATTTTAAGTTCGTGCCTAACCTTATACTTAGCGGGTTTTCAGATACCTATTACTGAGTGTCAGAGTATGGTAGCTAGCACCCAGTTTTAATCTGCACATTCATTTCTGTAGACATTTAGCATCTAATCTGAGCAAGACACTGTGCTTGGAACAGTAGTGTCATAAAGATGAATCATGCTAGCCATCGGGGAGTTGATAAGCTGGAGGATGAGGTGGAATTTATACATAAATAACTCTAATTGAGGAAGGAAATGGTAAGTATAATAGAGGTGAGCAAGAAAAAACTGTAAGATCCCAGGATTGATGGAGATGGCATATCAAATTTAGAAAGGTAAAGATGGGGTTAAGGGCTTAAAGTAGCAAGTATTAGATAATCCCCAAAATTGTCCATAACCTTTTAAATGCTGACAGTGAGCGAACAGATATGAATCTGAGCTGCATGTTTGGTTTTTTCCAGTTTGTTTATTTTATCTAATGAGACGGTAAACATCTGGAGTCATTTGCTGGGTTTCTTTCTCTTCTTCACACTGGGAATATATGACATGACATCTGTGTTACCTTCAGCAAGTGCATCCAGAGAAGACTTTGTAATTTGTTCTATTTGCCTTTTCTGCTTCCAGGTAAGTCATTTCACAAACACTATTATTGGTAAAGAGAACTTTAGTCAGACAACCTTGGGCAGGTGACCTTACTTCACACCCACAACTTGCTTTAAAGAGCCCCCAAATAGCATATAGGTTAGCTTATTCACTTTCATAATATAAGCATCCGGAGTATGTTTTTATGAGAGTGTATTTGGGTGTTACTAGAGTATATTTGAAATCCAGTAAGTTTTAAAGATTGAGAAAATTTCTTTCTTTTCTCTTCCTTTTTTTAGACCTCTCTGCCTTAAGATTAATACAAAGATAGGAATCTCTGTACTGCATTTGCCTACTGAAGTAGAACTCTGTTGTCTGCTTAAAACTTGTTTGGGAAGATTTCTCATCTTTTATATGTCTATGCCTTTTGTATTTGTTGTTTCCATACTGTCTTAATTTAGTGTCTTGTTTTGCTGGTATTAATCTTTTCTCTCACTTTAATGTTAATTTCCTTTGGGCCTTTTACACGAGCCTGATTTCAGATACTTTCAGTTTCTTCTCCTCTGTAGCCTCTTGTATGTGTTCCTCAGCACTTTAGTTTTTCTTCCGGGATCTGTAACAAAGTGCCTTTAAAGGTTATGTTTAATAATTTTTCAAACAGGTAATTCTGAGAAAGAAAACTAATGTGGACCAAAATCCAGTTGATATTTTTTAAATTAAAAAAAAAAATGCAGAGAGTACAAAAAAATCATAAAAATGAAAAGAAAAAGCTATCATGCCTCTCCCTCCAAACGTAGGCCAGCACTCCCTGCAGTTAACCTGCTGCTACTCTGAGAGGGGAATCGATCAGTAAACTGCACAGGTGTTGCTTTCATTGTGTAATAGTCAGTTTCAGGCCTTCATCATTTGACTCAAAACTTTGGACTTACATGATCAAGAGACACACTGGGAACATCTCTCTCCCCCTTTTCTTCTAATTCTAGCTCCTAGAAGCATGTTTTAAATTTCTTTGAGGGAAAGAATACTCTGTATTTTTGTGTTCTTATTAGAAAATTACTTTTTCTTTAAGTGTTTTTTTAAAGTATACTCTTTCTCAGGTTTAATGTTTGTCCTGATCGGAGCCTAAACAGCTCTTTAAAATCTATCCCAGTTTTTAAAATGGAAATGAATCAATTTCCCCACACTTAATTTTTAGATGGATCTTATAGACTAAGATGTGCTTAATATAAGAAAAATTGGTTTATACTCTACTGTTATACAGATATTATCTCCTTTGAGGATCCCACATGTTTTCCTCTACCCCAGGCCTGCCCTTTATCCACCCAGCCACAGCTGATGTTATTTCAGGGAACACACATTCATTTTCATAATGGTTTAAGAAAGCAGTGCATTGCAAAACTGAGAAGATGAAATAATTAAAACAACTGCCAGTGAAGAAACACCCAAAGTGTTTAGAGTGACTTGCTCAGGATTGTTTAGCAGGGCAGTAGAATCCTTCTCCTAACTGCTAGTGCACTGATCTTTCTGTTACACACAGTACAGCTTCTAAAGACAAACGAGCACATTTTCCCTATTTACAGATACCATTTTTATTATTTTTATTTTTATGAAATTATAACTTGTTCACCCAATTTCCCCAAATTCTTAGCAGGCAGCATGGTAAACCACAAATATATGTATTAATATTGATTTACATTTAATTTTTTAAAGATATAACATTTTTACTCTTTTCATTTCTACCCTTTTTACGTGCTCAGTGCTTTCCTACCAACCAGATTAATAGAGTACATTCTGAATAGTAGAATGTAACTTTAGGGGCTTTGAAGTCTTTCTGTCTTAGAGAAGAATAGGATCTGAGAACACCTTTCCCTAGATTCAGTTCATTAACATTCAGTTCAAGAAATATCTTTTTAATACCTCTTATCTATATCCAGGCACTAAGCTAGGCATCGGGAATACAGTGCTGAACAAAACCAGCCTGTCATAAAGATCAGGTCACCCAGATAGGTGAGCAGAAGGGAGAGTGAGGCAGGGCAATGAAGCAGAAAAAAGAGTGCCTAAAGGCCCAGAAGCAAGAGACAGCTTAGCACTTTCTCGACCTGTAGGTGCTGGTGTTTGTGGTTAAACCCTAGGAAAATGGAGAAAGGTAAGGCTGGAGAGATAGGCAGGAGCCAGATCCCGAGGCATTTGGCTATCATGGCAAGGAGCTTAGATGTAGGATGTCATGCTGTAATTACCTGTCCACCTGGATGGAGTGCGATACTCCACAGAAGGAAGCTTTCCAGAAATGGAGACATACTCAATGTCAGATAATTTTTCAGTCAGTTTTTTAAGCAACTCTAACAACACGTCCCTTTTAAAACAGAACATACTGAGTCTAGGTTAACTTTTCTAAAACTCAGATGTTCTCTATGAATACCATATATTTTACTTTCCTCTTGATACTGTAGTTTTTCTCTTTCCACTTTTATTTACCTTTTCACGATGAAATTAGCTTTATTGTTGTTATTATTACTATAACATATACTCATGTAGAAATTCAAGCAAACACAAAAGTATTTGGAAGAAAGTAAAATTCATTTGAAATTCAACTTCCACATTTGACATTTGGGTTCAGATTCCTCCAGATGTTTGTGTATCACAGCTGCCTCACACCTGCCTGCCTACTTTTCCTATCTACCTCCTTCTGAGCTGTGGTCATCTCTGCGCTTGCTGTTTTGTGTCACTCGACATTGTGATAATGAGATCTTTCCCTGTCAGTGAGAATATACATCTTCATGTTCTCTGAATTTACTGTGTTTTATCTCAAGGATAATCAGAGAAAGCAAATAACCAAGCTTCTTAGAGTTATGTTTAATTGGGTCAATAAACTCTGACTTGTAGTAGCCAAAGCCACAGACTGTTAAGGATTTTAGATAGTGGATGAAGAAATGAGATTGTGGCTAGGAACCTTGTTTTGAATATTGATATTGAGGCCATGGGGACTTAGGTTTGTTTAATGGCCAGACTACAGAATCGCTAGATGACCATTTGTCTGGCCCATTTTCCCTACCCCCACTGTCCCTGGCTTAGTGTAGGCTCTAGTCATTGCTTCCTAGGGCTATGCCTGTAACCTCTCATCTCAGCCTTTCTGTAAGGGTGCACTTAAAATGTTCAGAAGTATCACACAGAGCCCATAATACTGAAGTTAAAACTCCTTGATGTATAGGATCTGTCATAATCATATCATGAAGAAGGCCACATAGCATTCCTTAATGATGCTGTGTTTCGCAGTATATGCTGCTTTTCCTGTGGGCCCTCCAATAAACCTGTGCACACCTTTATTATGTCCTTGATGAATGCCAGGTCAACTTAAGGTGCAGCTCAGGTGGCAACCCTTCTATGAAATATGTAGCTCTTTTCCACCCACCACTCCCACCCACAAGTACATACATGCACCCACAGACCTGGTACTCTCCCTCCTCTATTTTCTAACTGTGCTCTGCACCAACTTTTCCTATAGGACGTCCTACATCACCATTTGTTCACTTGTTTCTGAGAAATCTCTTTTCATCTTTGTATCCCCACTGTATGACACACAGTAGGTATTTAATGGCTAAAGGGAGTTGAGCTGTAGAAACCTTATCAATCTTCAGAGCAACTGATAGAATTACATTAGCTTTGCTCTCAATTTGATAACGTATAAAGTCAGCATAAGTCATAATTATTTTTCCTTGAACGCAGCAAAGCTATGTTTAACTTAGAAATAAACTCTATACAATGAAGTCTCATACAGACATAAAAGGTCTTAAATTAAGTGAAAAAAACAAATAGCAGAACAGACTGTATGATTCCGTTTGATTAAGAAGTATATATGGTGTTCTTGTATGTGTGGACTTCTATATCATAGGTGTTTGATATGTTCATTGAAAATATCTGGAAGGGCACAAAAAAGATGTTATCAGTGGCTCCCACTGGAGAATAGATTGACTGGGAGGGGTTTATTTTTTTTTACATCATACAATTCCATATTCTTTGGTTTATTTTTCTTTAAGGACATGTATTCTGTAGTAAGTAGTTTTTAAAAGGAAACTTATTCATAGATCAAAATAAGCCTCAGTAGATTTCCTTCTACTGCACTGTTCATTAAATTTTTTATGTTATAAAGTAGTTATCATTATAGATTTCTTTCTTTATGATTGTTGTCCTCATTTTACCCATGAGGAACTGAGGCTTAGGGAAATGACATATAGTCAGGCACAAAGCTAGGGTCCATGTCCAGGTCTGTTTGGCTGAAAAGCCTGGACTTGACCACTTCCATGAACATCATGCATGAGTTGCTTTTGTTTTTTTGTTTGTTTGTTTCACTTTGCTAAGATTTGTTTTATTTTCCATAGGTCTGTATGCTTTGCTCTGTGGGCTATCATCTTTTTTCCTGCCATCGATCAGAAAAAACCTGCCGAAGATGGATGGCATTAGATTATGCAGGAATTTCTATTGGAATACTGGGCTGCTATGTCTCCGGCGTATTTTATGCATTTTATTGTAATAATGTAAGTAACTTAAAACATTTTACATTCTACCTTTCTTATATAGGTCTTGGGTGTTCTTGCCATGGTTCCCTTGAACTTCTGAATAAGCACATAATTAACTAACTTATAGAAGAAACGAAAGTCTGGTGGAGGCATAAACTCCTTTTTCAAAAGGGCCCTGTGATTTCTAACATCTGTTATCCGTTCCTATTCCTTCACTAACCTGGAAAGGAATGGGAAATAATATACATATGTTGTTATTTGCTGAAACTTAACGTAAACATTCAATTATTAATGTTTCCCCACTAAACCCATATAGCTACATGGTTCCTCAGATGTACATTATATATCTTTTATTTTTGTGTTTATAGAGTTGAAGGTAAAGGTAGCACTTGTTAAAGTTATGAAGTTATAGCTGCTGCTTTCCATTTTCCCCTCTTATCCTTTACTCCTCTCTCAGTGAGAAAGAAACAAAAGGTGTATCTGCGAGTGTGTTGATCCATATTCTTATATAAGAAATATGTTTTCCTTTCCTTAGTCTTATGTTTGGAGGCAGGCCTAGAGACAGACCAGATGGGTTGTGAGTGTCTTTAACAAACATGTGTCTATTGTGAGTTCTAGATCAACTCTTCTTTCTGACCCTAAAGTTACAAAAGTCAGTTTTTGCCTTGTGCAAAGCAGCATTTGAAACACTGTGATCAAATTATACAGCAACTGATCTAAATATGTTGGCCAACCAAACTACCTCCTCTCCTCATGTCTCAGCCAAGAAGGCAAACTGAATCTTCCTGAGGGCTCAGTACATCTCAAGGCCTCCCATTCAGAAAGTCCCCATTGACCCTACTCTCTTTTCCTCCTGCTCTCCTACCATACTTTTTTTTTTGTTTTCTGTTTATCCTTTTAGTTCCTTCCCTTACAGAGCCAAGACTGAGCCGCTCTCCCAGGTGCAGTGTGCCTACTAGTCACAGGACTAGAGCCTGTCATGCCCGAGCCCTCCCCGTGGAGCAGGTGGTCCAAGCCATATCCCCAGCCTTCACTTTCTAGGAGGATTGGCTGCAGTGCAGGGGTCCTCTGACTGTTGGGAATTCTTAAGTAGGACCTTTGTTGCTACGCAATAATAGAAAACTGTCAACACTGCTGGAGTGTAAAACTAGCAAAGCGAAAAATCATAATTTGGTTTGAATGTAAGAACATTATTAATTGTAGTCACTTATACGTGAGCCATTTGCTTTTTAGGCCTGATTACATTGGAACATAAGCTTAAAATTAAATGTACATGCCATTTACCTTGTCAATTGATTTGATTTTAGTAGTAAACTATTCATATCTACTCACCTTTCACAACTTGTTCATTTTGCGTGGAACTGTTTGTATCTTGTGAGTACAGTATGTAATATTAGAATTGTTTTGCTTATTATGTATTTCTCTGAAACCTGTTTTTTGTTTACCTCTTCCCAAATATATCTGATCATCAGAGAGACTAGTGGGACACTTTTTGTAAATCTCTTTTCAGAAGAACTAGAAGTCCAAGGTAGATTTAAGAGAAAAAAAAAGGACTGTTAGAGCTAATACAGTCCATGATCATTTAAAGGAAAAGTTTTCTTCCCTCTGGTATCTTATCATTTCCAAATATTCAGTTGCTATAGTGGCTCTTTACCTTTTAAGGAACACAGGCTGCTTTGAGAATGAGAATGAAAACTATAGACCCTCCGTACCGGATAATGTGCGTTTGGGCACAAACTGACCAGTCATTTTGACGTGTGAATTTCAAGAAGTGTAATGGTCCCAGAGAAGTCCTTGGAGCCCAGGTTAAGAACTCTGTCCTAGGTGATGCTAACTTTTGAGCTTCAAGACCAGCTTTTCAACTGCTCATTTAGATACCTAAATATTCTGTAAGTCCTTCAAACTTGATATATTTTTAAATGAACATTCTTTCATGCTTCCCCATTTTCTCCCCCCAACACACACACACACGCACACGCGCACACACACACACACTCTGGATCATCTTTGTTCATTTGCTCATTAGTACAAGCCATTTGCATGGCCTTTCATACTAGAAACAGTTGAGCCATCCTCTACTGCCCTCTCACACATCCAGTCAACCATTAAGACTAGTTTATTTCAAAGATGTCTCCTGAATCTGGTGCTAACATCTACCTTGTTCAACAAAAGTCCATGCTCCTATTTTCTCCTTGAATCAATTATTCTATAATAATATCTGCTAGCTGGCTTCCTGTCATCTCTATTTTTCACTGATGTCAGAGTTATTCTAATAAGTCAGTTGGAAAAACAACCATGTCATCTCATTCTTCAAGGACTCTGCTATTCCCTCAGTGCCAGCATGATAAAGTACAAATACTTAGCCTGACAGTACATCTGCTTTTCAGCCTCCCTTTGTAAAACTTCCTTGCTCTGTGTGCTGTTCCTTTTCCTTGAGAGCTCCCTCTTCTCATGAAAATCTTATATATTCATCAAGGCCCAGCTGAGATGTCATTTCCTCTGTGAAGCATTTTTTAGCTAATCCAGGTATCAATTGCTCCCTCTTCTGTAGTTCTACAACATTCTCTTCACAGCTCAGTTACAGTACTTTATCATTAGATTATAATCATTTGTTTATATGTCTGCCCCTCTCATAGCCTATGAGCTCACCCACTGAGAGAGCCCCTGTCATAGTCGTCTTTGTTTCCACAGGACTCAAATTGCCCCGGCCTATAATAGGTACTCAGGAGATGCTTTTGTGTGAATAAATGTGTTCTTTACCAGCTCACTTCGGGGTCTGGTTTATCATCCTAAGAAACCTAGCAGTCGTACGCAACATGCGTTGTTTAAAGGAAGGAAGGCAATCACGTTTGGAAATGAAAGTACCAGATAAATAGAGTTTGGAATGTATAATGTAGAAGCCCAAACTGAAAATTACTCTCTTCCTTCCCTTATTGTTAATAACAATTAAAATGTGATTTCCTTTCATTCTAGTACTGGCGTCAAGTGTACTTGATCACAGTGCTTGCTATGATCCTGGCGGTGTTCTTTGCTCAGATTCATCCCAATTACCTCACACAGCAGTGGCAGAGGCTCCGTTCTATCATCTTTTGTTCCGTTTCGGGATATGGAGTGATCCCTACTCTTCACTGGGTTTGGCTCAATGGAGGAATCGGTGCTCCTATTGTACAGGTAGGTTGAGTGTGGTCAATATTTTTCCCATTTTTTTTTTGTCCTTTCGATTTTATTCCTTTCAGTAAAGTAATGTAATCAGGCCAAGAAGGTGGATCTTTGTCATTTGAGGGCACATTTCTAATTGCATAATGATGCAATAATTTTTCACATCTATATAAATAAATAAACATACCTTGTAGTGATAGAAGTCTAACTATTTTCTTCTGAGATGTACTTCTATGGGATGATACATTCTTAATTCTCTTTCTGTTACCCATAGGTTGTAAATACCCAAGTCCTTACTGTAGAGGAGGACTCCCAAGTTTCCAGCTTTGTCATCTGAGGCAGGGATAATGCCAGTAGGAGCAGTTGATTTGTTTGTTTGTTTGTGGAGGAAAAGGAGTTGGGAAGGATTTCTTCTTGGACCTGAGTTTGAGGTACCCGTGGGATGTAAAGGTGGAGATAGGGTCTGGATTTAGCTTGGAGTTCGAGGCTAGTGATGGAGATTTGACAGTCATTACTGTCTTGGTAGCTAGAGGCATGGGAGCATATTCCACCCAGCAAGGAAAATATATTGAAAAATAAAAGACAGTTAGTTATTACGGGGGGAACAGTTGGAGTACATTAGGAAGAACCTCAGTGAGAATTCCTCAGCATGCTTGAGAAGGGAATTAGAAGTAAGACTTAAGTTCTTAGAGATTTATATAAAAATGCCTTAAGTGTGTGCTAGAGAGTAAAATTGAGAATTTTTAACACAACTAATTATGCCAGGAAATCTAGAAGAAATCGCATACACATGTTGCAATGGGACCTTTGGAATATAGGGATTTAAATGCAGGTTTTATTCAAAGGAATTAAATTTTTTTTACAAGAGAGGGACTAAAAGTAGGCTTACATACTGTTGGCAACAGCATGGTGGAAAGCATCTGCATATAAAACTAAAAAGAAAGGAAGTCTGTGGTGTAGTGAATTGAGTGATATGATCTGGCTATTTTGCCAACTTGAGGATGACGGTGATGCTTTCTTTATAAGATTAGGAAATTGGGAGAAAGGTGAGATAGTAGTGAGGAATAACTTCAGTGATTCTGGTATCTGTGAAAACATTGTTTTTCTGACAGTTTCAATGCCCAGAAAATAGAACAGGGAAGTACCACTCTAGATTTAATCCTAACCAGAAATGAATAACTAATTAGTGACATAGAAGTGAGTGACATTTTGGGATGAGGGAAACACATCCTTTTATGCTTCTCGTGACAAAGAAAGAGAACCAGACCCATTAAGCCAGTAGATTTTGAAGAAATTCAGAAAAGGGGGAAAAAAAAAAAAGGAACAATCCTGTGTTCAGCAAAAAAAGATGGAAAGAGAGGCACATAACCAAAGATGAAAAGTTCCAAAGAGCTAATCGTGGGAGGCAGGGTGAAGCTGTGTTCTGGAATGTTTGCAAAATCTGAGGTTGATTAGTCTGAGGGTATAGGATTTAGGGGAGGGGGCCCATGATAATTCTCAAATATCTGTTAGAGGGAAGAGAAATAATTTGTCTTTATTTCGTAAATGGTTTCTTGGTAAATTAGGTTTATAACCAGAATTAGGAACAGCATGTATAAATTAGAGCTGGCTGATTTTCTTAGAGCAAGGAAAAGCTTTCCAAGAGAGCTGTGAGATAGACTGCTTTGTAGAGTAATATTCAAGAGCGCCACTTATCTGGGATGGTGGAACATATTTCATTGTTGGGCCAAGCCTCTTGGCTCTTTTCCAGCCACAAATCCCTGTTTAGTCTCTCCTTATTCAGCTGGCAACTCCATTCCCGTACGCATTCCACTCTATGTTGTAGATGGAGTTGGACGCCCTTAGGACCTAAACTATGTTGAAGCTTTAACTGCCCTGGTGCCCTGACCTTTAGGGTTGTCTCTGTGTTCCAGTCCTCTGGACTGCTTCCTGAAGTATTGAGAGCAAGCTTTTTCTCATTGGAGACTGTCTGCAAAAGCAATTCAGATTTAACACACTTAAATCCCACCTATGAATTCTACTCCTGTGTGTTGTCTAATTCTATGAATTAGATTGATAAGAAATTGAGAATTCAATCACAGTAGGCAAGATCTGTGAAAAAAATATGTTTTGCTTTTTAGGACTTTGCACCCCGTGTAATTGTGATGTATGTGATTGCTCTTCTTGCTTTCCTATTCTACATTTCCAAAGTTCCAGAAAGGTACTTTCCAGGTACGTATCACTTGTATAATGGTTTTCTAACTTTATTCTAAATATATAGTGGAGGTATATGTTTCAGAGCATCAAAACTTAGATTTTTTTCCCAATATCACTGATTGTAGAATGGCTCTTCTCTTCTCAAATGTTATCTAAAACTTGAACTTTCTAATGGCTTTCACAAACTTTGTCTTTCACTGTCACGATATGAGTTGAGTCCAGTAGATAGGGTCACCACCATTTCACAATTACGAACTCCCAGCCACTGCTTTTTTGTGGAGCACTAGTTAGCAATTACCATTTACTTCTTTGTATACCAGCTTATGCTTAAAAATTAATTTATCAATATATGTGCAAGATCCATAAAACAAACAAGAGGCAAAGGAAAATAACAGGATAATGAAAAGAAGCCAGGTTTAGGATTACTTCATAATGTATCTATCGTAAGTTTCTATAAAAGAAAGCCCATCAGTCTGGCTTTCAGCTTCCTGGCACCCAGTGGTAAGAGGAAATTAATCTAAGTTAAGGGTCTTCATGTCCCCAAGATACACACAATCCAGGAACTTAAGGACAGATTTCCCTGCTTCTTCAGTCCAGAGGAAAACGTCTTCTGATAGAAAATAACTAAGAGGACACTGGGTAGAGTGAATAATGTTCTCCACAGCATGTATTTGCTTGTCTAGGAGCTTCAGCTCTGGAGTCAGACTGCTTGGGTTCAAATCCCCCGTCAGCCACTTTCTAGCTGCATGAGCTAAATAAGTCACATAAGCTTTCTCAGCCCAGTTTTCTCTTCTGAAACATGAAGATAATACATTTCTCTCTTGGGGTCATTGTGCGGATTAGATGAGGAAGTGCACATGAAACATTTAGCACAGTTCCTCGAGAGTAGTGAGCACTCAGTAAATCTTAGCAATTGTTATTATGATGCCCCTCACCCCCAGTTTCATAAGTGAAATATGTGGCTTAGGAAGGGACAGAATGATGCAAGTCCAGGTGACCTTTGGCTCAAGTCAAGAATAACAAGAGACATAAGGCAGTGGTCTTTCGGTTTGGGGGCTAGAAGTAGGGGAGCAGTTTAAATTCAAATTGCAAATTGTCTGCCCTTCTTCCTGGGTTAAGAACCTCTTCCACAGTGAATCAAAGATAGGATTGTGCCGCTCGTCATGTGTGTTGGGGAAGAAGAAAGGAGGAGAAACCCCGAACTAGAGGATGAATAGACTGCAGAACCTCAGGCATTCCTCTCTGCACTTGACTTTTCTCCACTGAGTTTTAAATAAGGACGGACTACAACGAAGAACCTGAATATAAACATTAGGATTTGGGAACATAACTAGGACATGTCCCTGAATTGAAGACCACCCATCTGCCAGGCAGGGTCTGAATTCTCCTCAGAAAACAGTTTTGGTAAAATACATTTTTGTATCACTTTATTAATAATTATTTTATTATTAATTTCTTCATCACAGATGTAGAAAATTAACCAGTGAAAGTTGTCTGCACTCTGTGATTATGGCCATAGTGTTTTTAGGCCTTAAAATATTCAGATCAGAAGTTCCTACTTGGGGGGCTTCCCTGGTGGCGCAGTGGTTGAGAATCCGCCTGCCAGTGCAGGGGACACGGGTTCGAGCCCCGGTCCGGGAAGATCCCACATGCCGCGGAGCAACTAAGCCCGTGCGCCACAGCTACAGCTACTGAAGCCTGTGCGCCTAGAGCCTGTGCTCCACAACAAGAGAAGCCACCGCAGTGAGAAGCTGGCACACCACAGCGAAGAGTAGCCCCTGCTCGCCGCAACTAGAGAAAGCCCGCGTGCAGCAATGAAGACCCAATGCAGCCAAAAATAAATAAATAAATTTGTAAAAAAAATTTTTTTAAAGTTCCCAGTTGTCTAATATAGGGCACCTTTAAAAGGTCAAATGTTATGTAACTTAACTTTTCTCAAGATGAGCTTGACATAAAACATGCCCCATGTAGCTGAATGTGTGCAAGTACAGGTACATTTGAGCAGAGATACAGAGATCATAAAAAATGAAACATTCCTTGTCTGGCCAGTCGTCATTTATTACCTGGCTCTAAAGAGAAACATGTTGTAGTGGTGGTGAGGTGGTGGGTAAATACTGTGAAATCAAAAAATTTAAACCTAAGAACTTACTTTCAGCTCAGGTTAATTTTTTTTTTAGTATATAAACACCACAGTGGTATTTAAGGGGTCAGGGATCCCCAAGATGTCCATGGACAGAATTCAGTGAATCTGTAATACTTGTATTACAAACTAATCAGTTTTCTTTATAATCCTCAGTGCTTTATGCTTTTAAAAACGAGTCTGTGAGCTTCACTAGGCTGTCAAAGTGTTCCATGGCACCAAAAAGTGGCTAAGAACCTCCACAGAAAAGATCCTGTTGACTTATACTTTAAAATCTACTTACTATACTGATGATTATTCTTGGTAAGAGAAGACAGAGAAGGTTAGAGAATATTTATAGGGTTGGCCAAAAAGTTCGTTCGAGTTTTCCCATAAAATATTACGAAAAACCCGAACGAACCTTTTGGCCAACCCAGTACATTACATGACCATAGAAGCACCATGAGTAAGAAAAAATTATTTACATTTAAATGCCTATGGCTCTGTATTTTGTTATTTTGTTGTTTTCCAAGATGCTTTCCACATGTTAGTTATTTAATCTCCTTGGAATTTAAACTTGTTTAACCACAAAGAGAAATGAAGTAATTTTCCTAAGTTGTATATGAACTAATCAGCCTTAGTTAATTAACTCATTACTAATTACATTTTGCAGATTGTTCCATTAGTCTGATAGCACAAGATTCAGGTCTGAGCTTTCTCCTTACACACCTGCTTAAAATAAAAAGTGCTTCACGTAGACTTATACCCAAACACAACCGTGTATCTGCTTCATACCTAATAAACTCCATGATTTGTAGCACTAATATCCTTTGCTTCTCTCATGTAACGTCTTTTCTTCACCAGGTATATAAGTTGAGACATGGGAGACAAAAGGTCAAATTCCTAAAATTAACCATATCTTGATTTTGAAAAGACATTTGGAATAGTATGTCTAAAATTCACCAGTATACTTAATGAATTTAAAACCTTATAGTCAGACTCAAATATGAATTAACATTTTTTTAGAAAACATTTCAGTCTGAATTAATCTCCAGTCTGTCTCCAGATACTCTGAGACTGCCAAAATCTTTTTGCTGCTCGGTTATATTTCCAGGGCCAGAGATGGAAATATATTTTTATTTTAATATCAAAATAATTACAGTCAATATTCTTCTCTCTCTACCTTCCCTTCCAGGACAACTAAACTACCTCGGATCAAGCCACCAAATATGGCATGTCCTTGCAGTAGTGATGTTATATTGGTGGCATCAGTCAACAGTATATGTCATGCAGTACAGACATAGCAAGCCTTGTCCTGACTATGTTTCCCATTTGTGAATTCAGGTATGGCCACCTGGTGTATTCAGTTATTAAGCAATATATAACGGGGAGTTGTATACCCCACTATTTCTAAGATTCCCATTAGTTTTTCCTTTTCCCTCTGGTTTGATATATCATGAGTAATACTTTATAAAAATGGAAAAATATACTTGGGGATCTGTAAGAGTAACTGTTTTATGGGCCCTTAAGACTACTAATTTGCTGCTTGTACAGAAAGTGAAAATTAGTTGGCATTCATAACAAACATCTGCATGACAATGAATGTGAAGCCAGCGTAGAAAGAGTACTCCTTTCACTGAACACCAGCTTAACTTCCTTAGGAAGGGCTCACCTCCATTATAAAGTGGAGTCCTCTTGTGTGATTCCTTTAATAGGAGATACTTAGAGTAGATGATCAGGTTTAAGTGCCTAATCAAGGCAAGGTTTGCGCTAGCCTGTCACAAGCTGATAGTGATTTTGAGTAATCACTAGCCTGTCAGTGGATGGTTTGTGAGAAACCGGCACTTAAGATATTATTCCCTTCAGCTGTAGGTTCTCTTCTCCCTAGGAACATTGGATTTTTTAGTTTGCTAGAACAAAAACTTTAAACCCCTTCTCCTTTAAGTTGAGAGAGGCGTTGAGAAAGGGAAAAGAACTTGCATCGTCATTTCCCATCAGATAAAAGTCATGTCAAGAACCGATTACATGACCAGGCAACAAATTCTGTGGTCTAATAACCAAGTTATTAGCCATTTAAGCTTTTCAATTTCAAATACTATTTAATTCCATATAATAACTGAGCTCTTGCCAGTAGACGGTAGATTTGGGGTTCCAAAATTCCTATAACAGAAGACTTTTCACTTCTCTTGAGTTTGCAGCCGTAAATTTCCTGGTGATAGGGGTTCCCAGGTACATGGGTGCTACTCTCAAGGGCATAGAATCCAGATGGCCCAGTTCTTGACCCTGAAATGAACCTTAAGCCTTAGAACAAAGTCATGCAGATGCCCCAGTTGATGACATGATTATTCACCTGTCCTCTGGTCTTTCTCTGTTTATGCATGTGTTAGTACTGCACTGATAACTCACAGTATTGATATACACTTATCTAATATTTGGGCCTGAAACTGCATTGTATATACTTAAAAAATAGATCTCGCTGCCCCATCATACAACATAGCGCTCTTGTTCTCTGGTCTTTTCATATGCATAAGTTAAATCCCATAAAGCAGTCATTCATAAAAACATGTTGTTTATTGGAATATAAAATATTACCCAAGTTTCTTAATGGGTTGACATGAACTGCTTTAAATACTGGTGTACCTTCAGAACATTGGAATTTCTAAGTATCAGGAGGTGTTGATTGATGGTGAAGCTTATTCCCAAAATGTCATTTATACATCTGATATTTGGAATGTTACTTTAATGTGCCTCAGTTTATGCATCTGTAAAATTTTGTATTTCTTTTCAGTGTAGCGTTTTTGGAATATGAATTCCCCATTCTGGTATCTCAGCAAGGAGAATTCTCCCCCAGTAGGCTAAGGGCACACCACATTATACCCCTTATTATGATGGAACGCCACTTTGAAAATGGCCATTTTACCTCATAGGGCCAGAAATTTGATTCATATGTTAAGTGAAAGAAGATTTTGGTGAAATGATAATAGGATATATTTTCCCTAAAGCATCCCTTATTGGCTTACATGGTATTATTGCTTTTAAACAGATATTTTGTCATTTTGGTCAAACAATATACTGCGTAGTTACAATTAATATAAAAAAGGAGAAGTCTAGTTATTTTAAGTATGGTGCCATTTTTTTATGATAAAATCTCAAAATAACATATTGAACTTTAAATTTCATTTTCTTTTAATTTTTAGAAAGTCTTATTTTTTGTTATAGTGTATGATTTAATACTTGCCATCTGAATTAATCGATAAAAAGACCACACTTTAAGACTGTTCTTGAATTTGGAAAGCATACAGGTCTGACTGTAAAGGAGAACTAAATTATACCATGTAAACATTTATTTCATCTTTTTATGAAAATATTAAATATTGTAAGAAAGTTCTTTTTATCTTTACTATAATGTACTTATTAGGGAATGAATGAATGTGGATTGCTGTCAACTATAAACACCTCTGTATATCAGCATTTATTGACCACCTACTGTGTGCACATCACTACTGGCAAAATTTTTAAGACGTTGTTAACATTAAAGAATATCTAAAAATTGCCTATGAATCTGAGCCTTGTAATAATGTATATTTATTTTTGTTTTGTAGATTTATTAAAATAAGATTAAAAGTACACTATTCAGCTACAGTACTAAAAAAGACTGGTTTTAATTTTACCAGTGTGTAAACTATAAAAGCTCTTTACCTACAGATGTACATTTTAAAATTATTCATGGCTGTTTTAAATTGTCTATAGTGATTTGTAAGGTTGTAGTTAATTCATTTAAGAGAATTATCATCTTCTTTCTATATAAAACCATTTTCAAATAGCAAGATAGTTAGTGCTTGTCTTTCTTGTTACACCGAGTGCGGTTCATGAGCTGCATGGCAAAATAGGTATTATGTAAATAAACTGGGTTTACTAAATATGTTAAGTGCTGCTTGTCATTCTTTATAATAAATACATAACAGCTTCACAATCATATTTTAGAATCAGGAATGAAGCTTCAGGGAATGTGTGTCACATCTTAAAGGCATCCCGCCTGGACAGAGTAACCGATTTGAAGATTGTGATGACTGACTGGCGTAAAGCTGTACAACTCTCCATTTGGCAGGTACCTACCTAGAGATGTCCTTTGCCCTGCATTAAATATCAAGGGGCGAAGCCTGCATTTCTGGATTCCCGCTGAGCTGAGTAGGTCTGTATTCACTTGTAATCATCATTCCGGGTAATTTTACCCCTGCCGAAGTGTGTGCAGTGAAGAATCAGCTCAGCTATTATTAGGGGAGGGGCAGAAGTGTCTTTTACATGCATTTTCACACTAACTGTGTTTGTTCACACTGAAAAGCGCTACGGATGCTACTGGGTACTAACAAACATCCCCTGAAATTCTGTACCGTAATTCCTTAGTAGGATAGCGGGAGAATGATCCAAAACTGAAACTACCTTTGAGAAAACATTTTCAGAAAGGAGAGGTAGCAACATTGGAGGTCTCTTATGAACAGTGAAACGGCCATCCTTAAGAGGACAGGAATGATAGCCACCAAGGTCTAGTCATGCTCTACAAACCCGGGATGAAAAACACTGCAGAACACACGTGTAAATGCCGTACTGCCAACTATGTAGAGCAAAAGTGAACTATCATCATCATCTTTTTAAATGTGCAACAAATAAAACTTCAAAAGCTCATGCTTTCAACAGGAGAATATTAACTAACTGCATCTTACATAAGATGCTGGAGCTGGACTTCCTTAAAAAGGGATGCGCTTACGCAAAATAAACAGCTCTAACTAACTAACTGCAGCATATATTCGTCTCGAAAAAGAAGTTAACTGTAACTGAATTTGAACAGTGGCACATCCCACACTGTTCTTCTTAGATAACCTTTATCATCGGATATTTTGCTCCTTTGTACCATTTATTAAAAAGAAACAAAGCCCTTATTTTTCCACATAACTTTAAGTAAATGTTACTACTTCCGAAAAAAAAAAAAAAGTTCATTTCTAACAAGCAAATAAATTGAATCTTTCCACAAGCCACCAATCTAAAACTCCAGTTTGTGGAATAATTAATACATAAGATGATAATATTGCAATCTTGACACCAAACTTAGTCCATCAATCCAATAAACAGGTTTCTCTTTAACATGCCAAAGCCTCTTTTCTGACATAATCAAGGACTACAGTATTTTATTTAAAACTAAATATTTTTTAATGTTAAATGTCACCAGTTTTTAAAGAAAGAAAGAGTTTAAAAACTGAATTATATGTAATGCAAAAACTATGCCAAACATTCAAAAGGTACTTCAAAGTCTTGTTTTTGCCATACCTTCATCATTGTAAGTATCAGTAACTGTAATCCCTGAACAAGTTGTGTTTTTGTAGTATAAATGCTAGGTCAAAATGTGTTTGCTTACTTAAATCCAAAACTGTGAGCCCCTTAGAAGAGAGATCTAATCTTAACTCATTTTTCTATTCCATTAGCTGCTGCATAATAGGTGCTTAATGGTCTGTGGTGTAAATGAAAGAACTGACTAAAAGTTTGCATCCAAAACTTTTAATAAGATGACAAATAATGAAAAACTCTGAAGTCACTGATTATAAAGAATATGCAACCCATTTGGGATTTATTGCATTTAAAGAAAGCAGGTTATTAAAACAGTAGGTATGATAAATACAGTAAGAAAATAACTTTAAATTTCAAACAAAACAAAGTGAATGTGGGACAGGATTCAGTCAATAAGAATAAGCAATGTAAAGGCAATATAGTACTAAAATCAGTTAGTGCTTAATTAGATATAGGAAGAAAAAGAAAAAAAGCAACTGATTCTGTCTCATAACAGTTTTCCAGCTGTATGTGAGGACTGAAGTTAACTTTAGAAAGTATGTTTTCAACAATTAGAAATATAATAAAGATGTAAATCAGGTTTATTAAAAGTTAAAGTTATTTGCTTAGTGGTACATAAAAGGCTTCAGAAAATTCAAGTTTAACAAAAAATGGAAGTGTAATCAAAGAAAGTGCACTTAAAGCTGTTTGCCAGCAATTAAAAAGTAGCTTACTATTACTATTCTGCTTACTATTAGATGACTTTTCAATCACAAAAGGAGCGTAGGAATAAAAACAATTCTCTTTTAAAAGTAGTACAATAAATTTTTAAATAAAAATAACCCCAAGTGATGGCCGTTTGCATTTTCATCTGTCTACCTTAATCTTTTAGTGGCTTTCGTAAACCCTCACCAGGAGTGAATGTTCCTTTAGTAATGATTGTGGTTGCAATTCCATTTAAAATTTAAAAATTCACATTAACTCCACAGTAGAGAGGTGTAACATGTACAAGCATGTGTGCGTCTATATATTTACCCTAATATATAAACACCACTATGTATAAAAGTTTTCAAATAAACTATCATTATGTTATTCTCACAGTAGATCTGTCAGCTCAACATTGGACCTAAAATGATGCGTAATTTTGCTAAGAAAAAAGAAAAAAAAAAAAAGGAAGAAAATGTTTACTGCACATTCTATATATATTAAAATAAATGTACCCAAACTCCTCAGAACTAGTGATACTAATAACACGTGTACCTTCTAGCAATGCTGATATGAAGTACCACAACCTAAAATAAACCAAGCAGAGAGGCTGAATAGTAGGAAAACTACTCTGCCTGATGAACACCAGAGTAGAGGAGGGGGCTCCACCTTAGTATTTCCCACCAGCAAGATGAGGACAGCAGACTATCACTGTCAAACAATAAACAGGGTAGGATCAAAAGCTGCTTCTATGTACAATTCCAAATAATGTCATAACCGTGCCCACGTACGTACACACACACACACACACACACACACACACACACACACACACACACACAGGGATGGGGCGCGTCAGTGGAAGAATCACACTTTCCCGATGTATACTTTTGAATAAACATTCTAGTCAGTTAAACCTCTCCTCCTCTGCCTAATATCTATACCAAGCAACTTTTGTGTCTTAGCAGATACATTCCTCAGTGCCATAAAAACTGATCTTTTTAACACTAACATTTTGCTGAAGTGATAATATTAAAATAAGCAAATGGTCCACTTTTAAAAAGATGATTCAAAATCAATAAGCATTATTAAAGCTGTTAGGACAGAAATAACTTTGGCCTCAGACTTTTGCTAGCTTCATAATATTTTACTTCCCTTAGTGATGTTCAAGTATTACAGGTTTAGAGTTATGACTACTTTACATGCTAAAGAAGCACAGAAGACAACTGATTAATAGGAACATGATTGCTTTTCAACTTTCCTTCCTTAAGCAAGAATTGGACCATCCCATAATAGAGCCAGACTTTTACTGAGTGCTGTGTACCAAGTATGCGTTAAGCTCTTTCACACGTCTTGTGAGCTTTAGTCTCATAATTCTCATTAGGCAATTACCTGGGCATCAGCTGTGTGGAGTGACTTACATCCTAACAGTAGTGGGGAAACATGATGGGAAATGGAAAGCGACCCTAATCCTGTACTGCTTGGGAAAATGCCTCTACGTCAACACAAAGCAATCTCCCCATTTCTCTCCCATCGGGTCCCCTATTAAGTCCTAAATGTCTCTTCTGAGCTATAATCTCAAGAGAAAAGTCACTGGGCTGTGATATAATAAACATAAGAAGGTAAATATTTTAAACAGTGTCAAAGTGTTTCCTTAGGATTTATCCAGCATTATAAGCCAAAGTGTCTATCAGTATCTAAATCATTTAAAATTATTCAGTGTATTGAAAAACAACTGTAAGCAAGGCCTTGGTATCAGACAGACTCTAGGTATTTCATGTTTACATCCCAAGGAAACCATACTAGTTCATCTCCACCCCTTCAAAATTAAGAAACTCATGAGGTCTAGCAGAGACCAAGGCTAAGGACTAAAATAGTCACAAAGACGCATACTGTGTATACATCAACCAACAGATTTCATTAAAAAACAGATTCTGTTTGATACAAACCTACTGTAGTTCATGAACTTACTATGTGTAATCATCAACTCTTCACTTTTAAAAGAAAGTATCACTTGAATCTACTTTGTAAAGTTTTAAAGCACATCTACTTGAGCATTTGCATTAGCAGTATTAATCAACCTGAGAATCAGAAAAAGAAAAAAAAAAGGTGCAAACATAATATTTGCCTTTGGCACAAGGACAAGTAACTGGTGCACTTGGGCTCTAAAGTACAGCTTTGAAGCAGTAATGAATGTCATGCTTGGTCTGCCTCTGCTTCACTCTGATTCACATACTGCTTCCCCCTTTGTCCACAAAAGTTGTATCTGATTTAAAACATAGAAAAGAGAGAAGCAGTAAAAAAAAAAATAGATGGTTTAGTTACATGTACTTTGCTTCTTCCCAAATTTAGAACTGTGAAAACAGGCAAATAGCTCAACCCAACTGGGGCACTATAATTAAGAGATTCTAGTAAGATTACTCGTAAAATACATTTTAATTGGGCTCAAAGAGAGTTAATTTAAAATAGAGCAATCGAGGAGAGTGCCAGCTGAAAAGTTTTCACCCTTTTTTTGTAAATAGCTTTAATGGTTCTAGAAACCTCTAAATGTTCATTTGATAGGGAAGGACAGTTAATTATAACTTAAAATAGTTAGAGACACAGGAAGCACAGATACTCTATTCACATTAATTCACAGATGTGATTTCTATCTTATTAAACAACTTCTATAAAACCTCAAGTTTCTAATTAGGATTTGTGATGTTAAAAAAAAAAGGCAATTTGGTAGCTGGGTTCTTTTCACTAAAGACACAATCAGCTAACTAGCAGAGTGGAGATGCTAGCCCCTGGTCATCTGACACCTCACAGCCACTCTTCAGATCTCGTGTTACTAGTGCAGAGGTATTTGCGGCAGGATGCGCGAGTCCTGCCGGTAAGGCTTTGTGGGTTTCGCTGTTCTGTGCGCTTTATTAAAACTACTCCACCCTCCAGACCTAACTCAGAAATTGCTGCTCACGACTTGGGGAATAGTTGGCGAAGGTGGTAATTTAATAAAGCACATTATTAAATGCAACATGATTTTACATTGTAAACGTCTCGAAAACTCAGGGTTTTAGCTACATATTTTTCCCTAAAATCAAATTTCTGTATGACCCTTGTCCTCACTCCTAGTTTTTCCAATAATCTGCTTTACTAGGGACATGATAAGTTTTGAGCAAGAAGCCATTCAAAACCAGAACATAAAGTGTTCCTGAAGTAGAGTGGTTTTTTCTTTGTATCACTATTTTTCTCTACATTTTTCCACCTGTCAGATATCTTTAGTTTTTGTTCAAGGTGTCTACATAGATATTCCATATTAATGGCACTTGTTTTTTTAAATGAAACAGTTTTAGGCACAACAGTCAGTGACCTCTGGCTCCGCTTTGTAGAGAAAGGTGTAAGGACTAAAATCTCTGCACTCTCCAGATAATAACTTTCTCATTCTTTATGAGAAGTGGATTTTTTTTTTCCCCCAATGTGGAAATTAGAAGAGACCTTAAAAAAAAAAATCCACAAATGCAATTTGTGTATGTACAAACAAGCTTAGTTTTAAATGCTGGATTCTGGAATGAGCCTCGGATACGCACACAAAAGTGACATTCTGTTATAAAAATAAAGCTGCAGCTTTCCAGTCCCTTTTCAGGGACCACACGACTGGAAAGGGCCCACAACGCCTTCCCTGGATTTCTGTGCCTTCACGTCTGCAGCTGAAACCCCAGGTTAGAGCTTTGCCATTTCACTCCCTTTGCTCCTGCGTGGAAGAGACGTGGAGTTGCTACCCTGTGCAGATACTTCCTTCTTCTATTTGGCTTATTTAAAAATCACCTATTCTGATTGACCTGTAAGAATGAATGATATAAAGAGCTATACAAATAAATTTTCTTTCAAATTCATAAAACTATTCATACTTTTTTCTTTGAAACAGGAGTTAATAACAAGAGTCAGAAGTTATCTACTGTTTAGAAGGAAACGGAGCAGCACCGAATGGGTCCAATTCGACTGGCTGGGCCTGTTGGGACTGATGTGAGGTGACGCTTTGCACCACGAGTTCTGTAAAGGGCACGGCACCAAAATCATCCATTTTCAACGCATCTGCCCCGGGGAACGACCCGTGGAGTGAATTCGGCCTGGGCCTCCCGGGCAGGACGGGGTTGTGGTCGGCACGGATGTCGCTCAGGCCCTGATGCGGGGGGTGCCACGGCAGGTCCGGAGGGTGGAACGGCTTGGCCCCGAAGGGGTCCAACAGACCCTCATCGGCTTGCAGGACGTGCCCTCTGTCCTTCCCGTCGGTCAGGGCAACGCTGATGTTCTCCTTGGAGTCCGAGATGGTCAGAAATTCATTGCTGCTCTGGGAGTCCCGGCGGCCCACCCTCTTGTGCCTGCGGGCCCTCTCTGGGGTGCGGTAGGCGGGCTTGGCCGGCTTTCTGGCGCCGGTGGGCGTGCCGTGGTGCCGCTTCCCGTTACTCTTGGCCGCCTCCTGCTTCGTGCGCCTCTGGCGGGAAGAGAGTTTCTGCAAGCTGCGCTGCTTGACTTTCTGCGGCTGGCTGCCGGCTATCTCCTCAAAGGGCACCAGCCCAAAAAGGTCCTCGTTGCTGCCGCTTTTACTTGCTGATGTGGGCAAGGGCTGGAACGGAGCGGAGCCAAATACATCCACACACTGCGGACGAGAGGGGAGCGCAGGTGCGTCGGGCACGGGCACCTTCTTGCTGAAGGGCGCCTTGGTGAAGACATCGAACTCCTCGGGCTCCAGCCCCACGGCGGGGAGCCGGCTCTCGGGGGAGGGGTCCTTCTCCGGCTCCCCTTGGCGGGGCTGTTGGGCACGCGCAGCAAAGAAGGGGACGGCGCCAAAGACATCGAACTCCGGTCTGGGAGTGCCCGCCCCGACGTCCGAGGGCAACTGGGTGGGCGGGAGGCCTGCTGCACTAGGATCCTGGATCGCTCCGCTGCCAGGTGTGTCTCTGTAGACCGCGCTGGCGTCGCTATACTTGCCTTTGGCCTGCTCGTAATCCGAGTCGGAGCTGTGTTTCTCTTCTTCCTCCTCATCTTCAGAATCCATAAGCAGAGGCCTGTGACCCAGATTTTCCGGCTCAGTATCGTCGTCGTTAAAATCTCCTTGTTCTCCCTGAAGACCTTCGTCGTCCTCTTGCTCTTCCTCTTCGCTGCTCTTAGGAGAAGGGGGATCTGATTCAAAATCACTCTCAGATTCGTCATTCCCCTTTTGCGCTTGACCGTGTACTGATGAACTCTCTGAGGTTTTCTTGCCAGTCCGGTGGTCTTTAGATACTGGGCTTGCTTTTGTACTCTTGATAGGGTTTTCAGTGCTATTTTCTTGATTCATGGATGAATGTTCAACTTTCTTTTCAGGAGAACCTGCAGATTCAAAGAAAAATTATGATATCATTCCAATGCATTTCGAAAACCATTTGCAGAAAATATTATGTACTAACACAAAGCATTACACATCACTCATGGCAGTTCCCTTAGAGGAAGATGTAAGGGCAGTTTTTGATCATTAGGCTTGGCTGGGGGGGTGGGGGTGGGTATGCACCTGGCCTCAGAGTCGACGGTTGGGTCGTTCAGTGCAGACAGACTTACTTGTCTCTCTACCCTACACACCACCTACTCACCACAGGTGCTCACTGACAGCTAAGTCTTACTTACAGTACCCAGAATAGGACTCTGAATACAGTACACAAGCACATTTTCTTCTTCCACCTTCAGAATAAGATTATCCAGTCAGTTGCCCTGCTCAGATCCCATGTTTACCCAACAGCTTTCTGCTTATATTTCAACTCTGTTATAAAGTTTTCCCACAGAGATCAGCAAGCATGAATAGCTTATCTGCTTAGTTATGTTTCACTGTGTAATTTTTAAATTGGCATTCTGGTGTTTTTCTGTAAACAAGTATCTTATGAGTTGGGTTAACATGAGCGCATCCCCATAGCCTGATCAAAACTAAGGACGAGCTACTGAACTGAGACGGTACCAAGGATATCTGCCTTCCCTAGATGCCACATCTTCCTTAAACCGTCATACCTATACTAATAGACATTACATTAAAAGCATGCTACTTTAATAAAAATCTTATCGGTATGTTCACTGTATGATAGGTAATAAAACTATCAAATACAGTGCTCTACAATTTCACTGTATGATATACAGTAAAGATAAATAGTATGTTAGTTTACATGAAAACATACAGCCCTCGCAATACACTGGTGTACTGAATTGATTTTCCAGAGGTAGGAAACAATTTGAATTGATCCAACCACATATCCATTTATCCCTTCCCCTCTAAGATCAGATATTTTCAAAACAATTAGCTAGGGTTGGAAGTATAGTCTTTAGTCATGGAAACTAATTATACCTTATGATGGAAGGACCATTTCTTTCGCGTTATTAACGAAGTGGTCTCCATGGCACAGGACACCTCTGAGTTATTTCCTTCTCTTTGAAAGTCAGCACTGTTGTCTTTCCCACCTCTCTGACTATTCCCTCTTGGTCATATTTGTGGGGACTTCTCTTTCACAGACATCTCCTTATACATGTATGCTCCCCAGGGTTCTATCCTTGGCTGTCTTTCTCCCTCTGCATGTCCTGCCCTGGGTCCTAACTACTTGTATGTTAATCAGCATTTACACAGTAATGAGTGGACCTCTGATTCTTACCATGAATACTCATCTATCCTATTCATCTAATACTTATCATAAATATGTATCTCCTACCATTACTCCAAACTCAGTAATTTCAAAAGAGATCATCTTTCCTCTTAAAATGTGTCCTCACCAGTCCCTCTAAATTAGTGAACAACACTTCCACCTACCTACCAAGCTCTGCAAACTAGCAGAAATCTATAAATCGTATTCCCTCTTCCCACCAAATAGTGTTTTCAAAATCTCTGGAATTGGGTCCCTCCTCTTCCTCTGCCAGCTGTCTATGCCATCCCCTCCTTATCTTCATCCAGCAACTCCTTAGCCTCTAAACTTGCCTGTCTGCCTCCGGTCCCATATCCGTCAAACCGCTCCTTGACACTGTCACCAGCATAACCTTTCTGACACACTAATCATGTGGCTACTGCTGAAAACCCTTCAGCATCTCTCTGAGGAAGAGGGAATCCACCACTGAGCCCTCACATATAAGCCATTTAGAAGTCAACAGAGGAACCTGCAAAGCAAACAGGGAAGTGCCAGAGAGGAAGACCGAACGCAGGTGAGTGTAAAGTTGCCACAGCCAAGAGAGGAGTTTCCGGGGGAGGGAGGAGACAACTGCGCAGGGTGATGCAAAGAAGTCCAATGAACCGATGACCCAAACGGCCACTGGCTCCCGTCAGCTCATGCAGGTTGTTGACAACCGTGAAGTGGGCAGTGGGGAGGAAATCTAGTGGGGCTGAGGAGTGAGGGAGAGAGACGATGTGGAGATTTCTATCAGTCATACTTAAATACAAATATAATCGTCATGCATTATTCATCTGCCAGTTCCCTGAAACCAGCCAAGAGTTATATGCTGTATCTTTACATATTCATAATAAGCTTCTCTTAAATCCTAACAGATTAAGATCAAATCCAATGCAGATTTTCATTTGACTTCTCCATACAGCATACTTCTGATATTAAAAACAAAGATTACTTTTAGATTAGCCAGAGCATTTATTTTCATGAATTTTTATCCAAAAGTAAAAAATGAGATGGCAAAGACTTGCAATCACCCCTGACTTTAGGACAGTCCCTCTAAGATACACGTTAACTTAGTACCTCCTCAGGTACTTACCCACCCACAGAGAGCCACAGGGGCACCCCTCCTGCCTGCTCATGGACGCCTCCAGGAACATTCCAGTATGCTTCCTAAAGTGTCCTCTGCAGAACGCCTATTCCCGTAACAAGAACCAAACAGTTCTGTGGTCTCAGGCGCGTGAGTTTATGAAATGCTGCCCTTTACAATGTACCCCTCACCACCACCACTCACCTGGGAAATGCTTATCGTACCAAAGGTGCTGACACATCGTACACAGAAGAATCTGACTGAATGAAGCCTAGGGTTTCCCAAATTTGCTTCACTACAAACACTTTTATTTGTTACATGTAACACCTATTGACCTTCATAAACAATTTTGCAAAAAGCACTTAGGGAAAATGCCGCTCTACAATTTCCCTGGAAAATGTTCCATTTCTAGGGCACAGAGTTCTGTTCCTAGAACTCTTCAGGAACATTTAACATAGGACAAGAGTCCTTCACTTGACCTTCTCTTGGTATTCTTATATTAATCCTCGTCTTCTAAATTAACTGTTTCCTTTACCCAAATGGTCAACATTGCTTTCCAAAACACATCTGTCACTTTCTACTCCCTACTATGTCTGCCTTTTGTCAGCTTCTCAAAGTTGTATTAATACAGATATGTATTTCTTTGTTGTAAAGTGCTATACAGATCTGCTTTTTAAATTGTCAGTGTGGATATAAATTTGTAGGGTTTCACTTACCATTTTTAACACATCTTTTACAGGGATCAACACAGTCCATTTAGTAATACTGATAGAAACATAATAAAACATTGTATGTATAGCATTTAAGTATTTACCTCTAGGTTGTTTTACATCTAGGTCGTTTCTAGTTTTTCAGCATTTTAAACAGAACCATGATCATGCACTTTTTCTTTGAGAGGGGAAAGAAAACCCCTTTTTTAATCATAATTTATCGATTTACTGTTATTCCTCCCTTATGCAAAATCAATACAGAGCTAATCAAGTTAACCTAGTAACAATCTCTACTAAGACCACAGCTAAATCCTCGCCCTACTCTGCTCCCTCATACGTGAGGGAATATATAGTATTATATTATGAGAGAATAATATGATAATAACAGGTTCTACTTTGTAGGACTGTTGTAAAGAAAGGACTTAAAGTAGTGCCTGACTCAAAAGCACTTGGTAAAGTTAACTGTCATCATCTCCAGAGCAAGGCCAAACTCAATTATCTCATACATCATACTCCAACTTCCTACCTACTTTCTGGACCCAATGGTTGAAGATGGATCTAAATGAGAGGGAAGAATAGGGAGGGGGCAGAGAGGAGGGTGCAATTCTATGGCTAATTCAAGAGTGGCTCAGGTCTACTTTAGAACTGGCCAAAAATAAGCAGGCAAACAAATGTATATTTACACACCACAAGGGTGCATTGTGGATCCTGGAAACTATATCTCTGATTTTTAAATAGCTATAGTTGAGAGCACAATATTAGAAACTGAAAGGATCACTTTCAAAAAGAACACGAAAAGACACACGCAATGATCTATCCCATCTTTATGGTTTCAGATTACATCCCTGAAAAGTATGGGCGGCTGGGGAAATTTCTGGTTGGTGTATACAGACTGGTTTTATTTCTTTTATTGTAGCCCCTTCATAAAACTAAAACAAGCAATCAAAAATATTTATCCAAATTCCTTTTTTCTCCCATATTCTCAGAACCTACCCACCCTGCCCCTGCTTAAATGTTTCTCTACTTCTCCATCCTTCCACTCCCTCATAAACTAACATAGAATCAGGAGCAGCAATGGGCCTCTCTGCCAGCATACTAAGAGCAGCTCAAATATTAAGCACCATGAAGCACAATTTTAAGTACAAGTGGTTATCTCTCTGTAGCACCTCCTGCTGGGGAGAAGTTAAGCTCCAAAGCTGCAAGTCACAACCATCGTAGATAAAGTTTCACTTTCTGCGACAACAGCCATCCATTTAATTTTCCTCTCTTCACTAAGAAGCTATAAAAAACTGAGAAAGAAATGGAAATTAAAGGGGGGGGGAGGGATAAATGGGAGATTGGGATCAACATATAACATACTACTATATATAAAACAGATAACTAATAAGGACCTACTGTATAGCACAAGGAACCCTACTCAATACTCTACAATGACCTATATGGGAAAAGAATCTAATAAAGAGTGGATATGTATATATGTACAGCTGATTCACTTTGCTATACAGCAGAAACTAACACAACATTGTAAATCAACTATACTCCAATAAAAATTTTTTTAATTATTTCAATATATTCTAAGACTTTTAGTCCTGTTCCAAAGGCACAGAAGACTGTCAAAATAAGTATTACAAGTTAGAAAGTTGGTTACCAACTGTACAATGTACAGTGCTTTAAAATGTGACTTCATAGCTGAGTGCCATCAACTTTTAAAACCTATTTCTTTGGCTAAACATATTTCTGTCATTAAAAAAAATTCAGATATTCCTACTGTTTTAATTATTTCAATATATTCTAAGACTTTTAGTCCTGTTCCAAAGGCACAGAAGACTGTCAAAATAAGTATTACAAGTTAGAAAGTTGGTTACCAACTGTACAATGTACAGTGCTTTAAAATGTGACTTC